TTTCCCCATACCTCAATTGTGAAAATTTCTTCCATCAATCACAAAGTTTTCTTGATCCCAAACAGTGGTCTAAAACTCTAATCCTGCATCTGAACTTTGTGCAACTTTGCACAACAAGTTGTGGGCTATATGCTTCCTGTCTCCTCTACCCTCCTGGAGGTAGAAAGGAGATTCCTTTGATTATCTACTCCTCTTAGGATATGGAGAGAGCACACTGAGCTGAAATTCTAACCCCTTGCAAATCCACAGATGTTTCCTTTACACCCATTGTTGATTCTGTGTTCACCCTAGTGGATTAGAAGGGATACATACACCTTGAGTAAGCACATACCTCACATACTGACTTTTTTTCTATATCTTAGCTCATGTCTTCTTATGAGTCCATATTCTGCTTATGGGATTCTGCTTCCAGGTATTGGCTCGTATTTCCACATACAGACGGTGGTGAATTGACTGAAAAAAAGGCCACAGCAATTCCTCCTGTCCTTGGATATGCAGACTTTTGCTAATATGTTGAAGGTAGAGCTGAGGATTTGCTGATGGAGTTAGTGTGGGACATGAAAGAAACAGAGGAGTCAAGGGGGATGGCAAGGTGCTTGGCCTAAGTAAAATGAAGAAAAGCACTTTCATTCATCAAGGGGCAGAAGACAGAGGAAGAACAGATTTGCGAGGGGGAAAAAAGCAGCCAGTGAGTAAAACCTTCATGAATACTAAATCTATTGTTTTTTCAAAACGTAAACTTATAAAATCCATAAAACTAAGATTCTCTTAAATGTTCTGATATATATGCAGTATATTAATTAAGAACTCAACTAAAATCCCAACACCAAACAGGTTAGTTAATTACGTATTTTCAGTTGGAACAACAGCCTCCTCCTCTTCAGGTTGAGCTGTTGTGAGTATCCAGAGAGGTTGACCTGCAGCACTGTCTCATAGAAACACATGATTTCTGAAAGAAATTGGAGTGTCATTGCCCTAAGTAAACAGTGAAATATGTGCACATATGTGATGATAAAGTCAGAGAAAGTAACTTAATGATCTGAGTGGTAATTTGATATTCTGGTGTTGGTAATAGACTAAAGGCAAATGCCTCTGGTAACATCAGATAACCCTTCATTTTTATCTTTTCAAAACTGATGCAGATGACCAGATGATTATTTTCTTTTCTTCTTTTGTTATAGAAAATTAAGAGCTTTCTTAGCATTCAACCTTCCTTACATTTCCTGGTCATGGTGCGCTCTTTGAACATGCTGCTCTGGATTATGCTGGCTAGTGTTTGGGCCTTTCCCATTCATGTTGCAGACAACATCTGCAGCGTAGGTGCCAATAATCTGTCTGAGAGATGCATAAAGAAGCAGGAAAATGTGTTCACAGAACCTCATGCAAGCCAAGGAACTCAGAAGGACAAGTGAGTGGCGGGCTCGGCAGGGAGGGTGGGCACCTGGCTGACTCCTCTGCTCCAAGTGCAGCGGGCCTCGCCCTCATCCTGCAAGACCCAGAGTCCTGGGCTCCTGCCCTTGGTCCCTGGCCGCTGCCCTTCACCCACCGCCGCCTGGGGAAACCTAGGCCCCGCCCCTCGTTTCTGATCTCGCCTCCTTGTGACCATTAGCTTCGCCCCTCCCCCAACCATCTTCTCCCGCCCCTTCAGCCCAACTCCGCCTCCATATTGCGCCTGCGCACTAGCAACCATCTGCTCTTCAGGGCGGGGACTGAGCAGGCCCCAGTAGGGCTCGCGGCCCCGCCCACCCCCGCCCTCGGGCCCGCCTCCAGGAAAGCGCTTCCGCAAAGGCTTGGCGAGTCAATCAAGATCAGAATGGTAGTGGGATTTCACGGTGTTTGGCAGTCTAAATGCAAATGCCTCAGGTAAAATCATACCCACTGACCTGAAATAGGGCCAATGGGAGATGGCTTCCAGTCTTATGTGAGACTCATTCGGTAGCAGGAGAGAATAATCAAAGGGATATAAAGTTCCAGCTGCAATTAGAGAAGAAGAGAAGTGATCTGAGCTCTACATCCTGATGAACCTCTCGGGCAGGAAATAAGACATTGAAGCTTGGGGCCCTCTAGACAGAATGGTAAGAACAGAATTGCTGCCACCTTCAGCCGAAGATCTTTATGAAATGCCAGGAAGAGAAAGGCACGCAGCCACCCTGAAGAGCTACAGGCAGAAGAGACTGCCAGTCTTACTCTCCTTTCCAGTGGGGGGTGGGGGAGTTACTGACCACAGTAAGGCTATTTGCTGGGAAAATGTTTTTTTTTTCCCCTATTTTTTTAAATATTAATTAATTTGGCTGCGCTGGGTATTAGTTGTTGCATCTGGAATCTAGTTTCCCAAACAGGGATTGAACTTGGGCCCCCTGCATTTTAAGCATAGAGTCTCAGCCACTGGACCACCGGGGAAGTCCCTGCTGAATGTTTAAACCATGGTAAGCTATACAAGTAAGACATGCAATTTTAGTTAATTGCATGTCTAATTTCAGTTAGAACTGGAAAGTGTATTGATTATGTTTAAAGAATAAACAATGACAAAACATTCTACCCAGTTAGCTAAACTGCTAATACAAAGTCTTTAGAAGACCTAGTGGTGTGGTGTAATAAAAGACGTCTCAGGCACAAGGGACTAAGATTGTAATGCAGGCTTCAGCAGGAATTAACTGTGTGCTTGCTGCTTCTACTTTGGTCCTACTGACTTCTGAACTAAGCTTCTATAAAACCATGCTGGTCACCCTACCTCTCCTTGCCCTTGGGAGTATCAGAAGATTTCTCCACGATCCCCAAATATGCATTCATGGCTTTCATGAAGTGGCTAAAAGGATCACTTCTCATAGGGAGGCATTAGATTACCTGCTACCTTTAGGGGATCGGGCTCCCCAGGTGGCTCGGATGGTAAAGAAACTGCCTGTAATGCAGGAGGCCAGGGTTCGATCCCTGGGGTGGGAAGATCTCCTGGAGAAGGGAATGGCAACCCACTCCAGTATTCTTGCCTGGAGAATCCCACGCACAGAGGAGCCTGGCGGGCTACAGTCCATGGGGTCGCACAGAGTCAGACACGACTGAGTGACTAGCTTTAAGGGGAATACTTCCCTAGACAAAGGGGCGAGCTTAACAAAGAGGGGAACTTTTAGCATGGCCTGGAGACCCCATCCCCTTGAAACCCACTCCTGTTCTTAATGCATCAGACTCCAGAGCTTAGAGCTCCGCCCTGGTTCAGGTGACAATGCACATGACAGAGCCGCAGCTTCCTTCATCATGCTGGTGTTCATTGTGAATAATAAAAACATAAAAGTGAGATCTTCTGAAGCAAATGAAGTTTATTGGAAGAACACACGTATTCAACAAAATACAAGAGACTTAAGCAACAAATACATTTTAAAGACACAGAAATGAGGTTAGCTCAGGGAAACTCAGAAGTATGTCCTGCTTCTTTCCTTTCCTTTTTTTTTTTTTTTGGGCCATGCCATGCAGCATGTGGGATCTTAGTTCCCCCACCAGGGATTGAACCCCCTCCCCCCCTACATTGGAAGCACAGAGGCTTAACCACTGGACTGCTGGGCAAGTGCCAACAGTATGTCTTTTTATATTCTCTGCAGTGAAAGGTTACCAGGCTCTCACTCATTCTTGCGGGTCTAGTCCCAAACTATAACAGAAATATTACTGGCTCAACTAGGATAAGATGAAAAGTATACCAAACCAAGTAGCTATGGCCAGGAAGCTCAGTGACACAGAGCAGAGAAGGCCGTGGGAAGGTTTCAGAGAAAAGAGGCCTGCTAGAGAGACCACTGAGCCTGACACAGTGCCTTCCACCCTGTGGAATACAAATACAGTACACACACGCTTTGACATGCCCCCATGGGTACAATATTTTTAAAGATTTCTTGAGGAAGCGCAAAAGCACATAGTATACAAAATGAAAACAACCCAAAGTCCAAGCCATTCCCAAAGGCCCCAAAGTCAATTTCTGGTCAAATGACAACTCACTGATGTCACAGGGCCACTCCTTGAACCGAAGTCCTCCTCATGAAGTTGATGACTTCTGTAGAACTGCTGTGATTCTATGAAATTCAAAGTCCTATGGACTAAAGGTTAACCTTAAACACCACTCATGCAAATACTATGTATACATAGAGAAACCAAGGCAAAACAATAATACAGATGATGTAAATGGCATTACCCATTTCCCCAAGGAGAAACATTCTTCCCTCTCAGTTCTAAAATCTAAAAACACTTGGAGGGAGGTAACACTCACTTATGATTATGGAAGGGTCATTTTTATTATTTTTTGAACCCCTTTATTGAGGTATGAGCAATGACTGACATACAAAAAGATGTACGCACGGAGGCGGCGGGTGTGGTGCGCACTCCGTTGTTGGGGAGCTCAAGCTAAAGGGTGATCTGCTAGAGAGTGTTCTCTAAGCAAAAATCAGAAAGAGGAAATTTACTTGAATCAAGCATGATGGATCCATGTTCAGTTGGAGTCCAGCTCCGTACCACAAATGAGTGCCATAAAACCTATTATACTCGTCATACAGGTTTCAAGACTTTGCAAGAATTGTCATCAAATGACATGCTTCTACTTCAACTGAGAACTGGAATGACACTTTCTGGAAACAATACAATTTGCTTCCATCATGCAACGATTTACATCGACAGATTTGAGGATTTGCAGAAGTCATGTTGTGACCCATTTAACATACACAAAAAGCTAGCCAAAAAAAATTTACATGTAATTGATTTAGATGATGCCACTTTTCTGAGTGCAAAATTTGGAAGGCAGCTTGTACCTGGTTGGAAGCTTTGTCCAAAATGTACACAGATAATCAATGGAAGTGTGGATGTTGATTCCGAAGACCGGCAGAGAAGTAAACCTGACTCAGATGGAAGAACTGCTAAAGCGTTGAGGTCATTATAATTTGCAAACCCAGGAAAACAAACTGAATTTGCTCCAGAAACTGGTAAAAGAGAAAAAAGAAGGCTTACCAAAAATGCAACAGCTGGTTCAGACAGACAAGTGATCCTGGCAAAGAGTAAGGTCTACGATAGCCAGGGCCTCCTGATTTTCAGGGGAATGGACCTCTGTGACTGCCTCGATGAAGACTGCCTAGGCTGTTTCTATGCCTGTCCTTCCTGCGGGTCTACCAAATGTGGTGCGGAATGTCGCTGTGATCGAAAGTGGCTGTATGAGCAAATTGAAATCGAAGGAGGAGAAATAATTCATAACAAACATGCTGGATAATTTGTGGTGTCCGATTGTGACCCTTTCGGTATTTCCAAAGTTCTGTAATTCTAAGATACATGTTAAAGTTGGTTTTGTCAGTTGATGCATATGTACTCAGCGTGCACTAACACTGTCTTTTGGGTACCTTAAGATAAGTTATCTGATGTAAATTTCGATGGACTGTTTATTACTCAACAGTCAGCTCTTCAAGCCTGTCTGGGTCAGTGTAAAGAAGTAATGTATAGGCAGTCCTCTGTTTGTACAGTTTGCATGTCCTTAAATTTCCATGGCACTGATACAGTTAAATAAACCAGTTCCTTCACAGCAAAAAAAGAAAAAAAAAAAGATGTACGCATGTAATGTATACAATCGAATGAGTCTGGAGATAAGTATACATCCATAAAGCATCTCCATAATCTATACCATAAACACACTCATCCACTCTGAAGTTTCATTGCACCTTTTTAATTTATTATTATTACTATTTGGTAATAGAAACATGACAGAACAAGATCTACCTTTGTAGCCTTTGCAGTACACATCAGTTTCCGGGTCTGGAGCAGATACACAGATGCCTGAGGCCTGGCTTTAACTACATCCTATTTCCTATACCTCAGAACTCTGACAATCTACTAGAGGAAAATCTACAACAGGCCTTTCAGCATTCGGGAAGGTGCTTTGTCTGACTGATGGGGGAGGCTGGGTAAACAAGCGAATCTCCTTAGGATTCACTGAAGTGGGTCCACTTCTGCTCTTTTCCAAAGCTGATAAGAAGTAGTACAGTAGGTTTGCACATGAATAAGGAGAAGCAAAGGAAGCTCAGAAAGCCAACCCAAATCAAAACTCTGAGCTGGCCTGGCTGTGACACTCAGTAACCCATTTTGGGTTCATGCTGGAGTCAGCATAGTGGACCGGGAGGGCAAATTCAAATCCAGAGGGATGAAGAGACCATTCAAATTGTACGGGAATGCACATATTTGGCTCATTCTGTCCACTCTTTTTGACAGAGCTGCACACTAAAATTCCATAAGTAAAACTCTGCCGGATGTGAGTCCTTGCCTCCTCCCAAGTATTCTAGCAGGTCCTGTGCAACACAAGACACAGAAATCAGAACTCTGCCAATTGGAGATCAAATCTCGGCTCCTTCAGAGTGCTTGAGAAAGGGATGGTGAGAGATGAAGTTCAGCTCCGCTTGCCAACAGACTGCTGACGTCAGCAGAGCGACTTAAACCATCTCTAAACAAGGTTTGTAGTTTTAATCCTCATCCCCAGTGATCCTATTGATCACAGAGAATTCACCCTGAGGACATATGTATGGGTAAAAAGCTCCTAGAGGATAAGAAGTCACTCATACTTTTTACTTGTCGTTCAGGTGCTGTTTCCACAAGTTCCTGTTGAGGAAGTTCTCTGCACAGGTCTGGCTATGGCCAGGACTTTAGAATCAGCACTTGGAGAGATGGTGAAGATACCCAGGGGACCTGGTATCTCACAGGGAGCACATTGTAAGGGACACTCAAATAAAGAAAAGTAAATTGCTCATGTTGAAAAGGGACGAGGACTTCTTTCTCACCTTTCCTCAAAAACTCTGGAGTGTCGTCAGTTCTTTGTCTGACTCTGCGAAATCACTTCATTCGTGTCTGAATCTGTGTGACCCCACAGACAGCAGCCCACCAGGCTCCCCTGTCCCTGCGATTCTCCAGGCAATAGGCTGCCATTTCTGACTCTCTGCAATGTATGCAAATCTTTTCTGTAAGTTAAATAAGCCTCTTGGAAAGTTGCCAAACCAAGAGTGTTCCTCGGAGACCTGGCAGCAAAAGCAGTGACCAAGAGCCCATAAAGCAACAGGTAAAGGGCAGAAAATATTTCTGGGGGGAAAAAAAAACAGTGTAAGCAACAGCAGTGCCTTCTCAGAATTCCCTTAGATTATATACTGTGCAACAGTACAGCTGGACAGAGAGCTCCCCTTCCACAACAGCCATTTTTCACAGGTCTAGGCAACACAGAGCAAGGAAGAGTCAGCAAACCCTTCATACAGACAAAATCACAATTAACTTGGGAAAATGGAAAATAAACCTGTTTTCACAATAAATGTCCTAGTTTATATGAAAGCCGTATCTTCTTATAGTATATCCATCAGGGCCCATTTTTATCTTCTGTCCCTCAGCTACGCTAAGCTAAAGAAAGGGCATGGGAATGGAGAAAGGAGACAGGAGAAAGAGCCCTGAACCCACAATGCCCACCACAGTCATCACACTAAAGACCCTTGTCCTCCCCACTGGCACTCTTTCCTTATACTCTCAGGGCCTCCTCCTCATAGCCCTGCTGGGCCTAAATTTCCCGAATCAAGAGAAAGCAAAAGCCTGACATGGGGAAACAATCAGGCCTTTTCCCTCCCCCAATTGAGCTCCCCTTTCCTCTCCCCCAGTCCAATAGCCCAACATTACAAACAATGCATAACTGTCCCTCCACTGTTGTACCAACACCAGCTTCTTCCTTGAGAGTGCAGAGAAGGTCCCCCTGAGGCAATGTCACCCCCATCAATAGACAAACCTAAATGGAAGAGGAACCACCACCAGCCAGCCTTTCTCCTAGAAAGGCTTTCTAGCAGATACACGGGTGGGAGAGACAGCTACAGCCTGGGGATGCAGCCCTCTCCAGCAAGAGGAATACAAGCGCTTCATCCGCCAGCTGGGGCACCTGACTCGGGAGGTTCCTGGACATCCAGGCTCATCGGCATATGCCCTGAAGGAAGCAAATGGCCCTGGATTCATGGACAGTTCACTGACTAGACCCATCGGACCTCTGTCTTCCAGCCAATGTGCAGAGTGTGCTCAGTGGAAGAGTGCAGAAAGTGAATGTGGAAAGTTCCAACCACATTCTGACACAGTTGGGACTCCTCAGGATTCCCAACACTTCCCATGCCTCACATGCTGCCATTGCCAATATGCACCTTCTTAGGATTTTAGCAAGGCCCCTAGGTGTGTGAGTGTAAAAGGAAGAAGTGTCTGGTTGGTATATCAGTAGAACACACCAGCAACACCAACTCACATTCATGTGCCTCTTTATGGCAACAGGTAGTCTCAACAGAAGAGTTGAGCGGTCTATTCAACCAAGTGCAGTCAACATCAGCGGGTGCCTCCCAGGAGACCCTCTCAGACTACTGCTCTAGGCCACAGTATAGGAGGGGGAAAGGTCACCTTTCCTGAGCCGCTTTTCACAGCCTAAGGCAGTGCACAGACTGAAGCAGGAACACGAGAACATCCCTAACAGTGAAGTCCAAAATTCTGAGGAATGCTGTCACATAGGGTAAAGCCTTCATCATGAAAGTCTCACCTTTGCCAGAAAGAAATCCACTCTCATGTCACACTCAGCGATGTGCACTATTATGTTCAGTCCCCTTGCTACAATGATCCCAGGCAGTACCAGGAATTGAGAAATAGGTAGGAGACACTTTTGACCACAGAAAGTCCAATGCACCTTTCACATGGAGGGCCTATGTCCTCCCGTCCAGCTTTCTCCTTGTGCTCTCACAGCAGCTCTACAGAGGGTCACTCTTCCCAGCCCCTTCCCCACCTCTAGGCTTTAGGCACCCCAACGAAGGTCCATATGTAGTCAGTCATTCCATCTTTCCTGATCAGGGAACTCCTTCCCGCTTTGAGGCTCTAATCTCTACAGTACTTCTCCTGAAAAGAACCGACAATCAAAAGTGGCCTGAGAACTACTCATGAAACTCATTTAGTTCAAGATTCAATTGGTACAGCTACTATGGAAAACAGTATGAAAGCCCCTCAAAAAATGAAAACGAGAACTACCATCTAGTCCAGCAATCCCACTTGTGGTATGTATCAAAAGGAATCCCTCACACCAGGAATTTATAGAACATTAACATTCCCACGAGTGAGTACACATTCATTGAGGTATTGTCTCATGAGGCTAAGTAACATGGCTGGCCTATGAATGAATTCCTGGGAAAGAACCAGCAAGCCAGATTCCATCTCAAATTCAGAAGACGATTACCTTCTCTTTCCACGAGAGCCCTGATTTCTGAGACTGTCACCAACTGGAGAGTCACCTTTTTGGAATCCTCAACCTTGTGACTTATTTTGAAGTGCCAATACACAGCAGATTGACCTCTTAAACCATCCATTTAGGTTTTCTTGACCCCTGCCTCCAATGAAGTCAGCCAAGATGACTTTGATGGGCAGTGGGAACAAGTGTGTGTGGAAGGGGAAGCAGGCCTCACTGTTATTCTTAAGTTTCACAATTGTCTTGATTAGGAAATAATCCAGTTTTGATCATCATCATGTCACCCGGGGAAGGAACATGGGCTTAGGACAGGTTTTTCTAAGTGTCTCAGGCTACAGGTTTTCACTGAGTAGGAAGTTATCATGACCCCCATCTTTCACAGCTTTAAAGTAATTTCACCGATTACAGGGATGAACAAAACATCTTTAAACATGCCCTCTAAAGAATAGACACTTTAGTTTCCAATCACAAAGAAATGTGGATTTTCTTTTAACATTCGCTGAATGAAATTCAGGTTCTGTGATGCCACCTTCTGGATAAAACCCGTGCTAATAAAGCAACACAGGAGCCCAAGGTTTCCATGAAACTAGAGCTTAGAAGTGTCTTGGAATGCACCTTAGAAGAGTTCATATTTCTATTTAGGGCTTTCCCCCCACCCCAACTGTGAAAACTCTTCCGCAGATTTTCAACAAATTAACCACTGCCCCGAAAAGAAGTAACTTTACACAGACAATGAAAGAGAGGAGACCTTTTCGGCACTGCCAGTTAACAAGCACCCTCTTGGTGCCGGAACTTGGTGCTGAGCCACATCAGCTTCGGCATAAGGCGTCAGAGATGGCCACACAAGAAAGTGGCTCAGAGCAAGGCAAGGTGTGAGTTTCTGGACTACCTCTTGGCATCATAGCAGGATTAAAGAGGCTGGTTTCCAAAGAGAAGCCCCATAATATCTGAGGAAAGTTGCTGGCCCTGTGAAAGGAAACAAACGTTTGGTT